CCTAAACCCTAAACCTTAACCGTACTCTAGCCCAAAACGCCTCAGTCCCAAGGCCTAGCTTAAGGACCAAATGACCCATAGACCCATACAAAGCGCGGGTTTAGGGTTTAGTTTAGGGCTTAGGGTTTAGGGTTTAGGGTTTAGGGTTTAGGGTTTAGGGTTTAGGGTTTTGGCTCTACATCTCCTGCTAAAACACTACAGTTTGCGCGACGTTAATCTATATTCGCTGAATATTACGGAATATGTCTATGACATGTCCTCAGGGATCTTTAATATAGCTCTGCTATGCTACACCCGTATTGATTCAAACCGCAACTCGAAGCTCAATACCTGTTCCCCGTGCCCGACAGTTCGACTGCTAGGAGTATTTGTTGCTGGAACTGCAGCAAAGCACTCTATATTGATGATAGGGAGACCTTCATTCGCCTGGCAACACGCAATGATAGACGGTACCTCATCTGAGTTCGCAGAGTGTGCACTGCCATACCCTACAGACACACGGCTTATGTCAAGTTTAGGCCTTATGGGGCTCAGGGCAACAACAGCGTCGCAGTAACCCCAAAAGTCTCGCGAGGTAGCTGGATTAGCCGGGGTGCACACTGTACCTAGCATTTCTGGAAACTGCCCCGGCACCCCAGTCGCAAAAGGTTTCGCTTCGTGTGCCATAAGGGGCTCTTGGACATAAGCCTTGCGCATCCAGATAAGCGTTTCGTTGACACCGAATCAGAATCACAAGTGCAGCTGGAAAACTTCAAGACGCTGGGCTATACGTCGGCTGTACCCCTGGCCTCTAGTTCTAGGTGGCTCAGTGACCCGAATACGACAACCCCGCGATAAACGAGCATACCCTTAGGCCATGCGGTTTACGCCACCTAAACCCTGAACCCCCCAAACCCTAAACCCTAAACCCTAAACCCTAAACCCTAAACCCTAAACGTTGCGACTGAGGAAGGGATCAAAAGCAGCTCTGTCTCTCTCTCACTTCGGAAGCACAGAGCCTCGGTAGAAGCGATGGCTGCAGATCTACGGGCTTCGACGGTTTAGGGTACTAAGCGATTAGAATGGCACATGGGGCTTCTTCTAGGTGTTTAGGGTTGACAAGTAATATTACCTGAGTTATCTTTAGACCCCAAACCCGATCCTGACTACCATACATGTTATGATCTCTGACTAACTCCCTCCATCCTGAACATAGATCCCCCTGAGAAGCCTTGAAACCCTCATCATACACCATGAATGAACCTAAATACACAATCCCCAAGCTCGGGCCCTATCCAGTCCTGCAGAACCCTGACAACACCAAGCATAATACTACAAAGTCTTCAGACATTCCAGCCCTATCAAACTCCTACTACACCCTGATGCCTGAGGTTGAGGTTGTACCGCACTCAACCCATGACGCCAGAGGTGCAAATTGGAACCAGCCCAGGAGGTCCGAATCGATGGCTTCTTACCCCTAACCCCCCAGGTACCTACTATATGAGGTACTAGAGCCCCTAAGGCCGTATATGGGAGTTTCCGAAAATAGGGGGACCCTTGTTTTGGGGTCCTTATAATAAAGGTCCTACTATTTAGGGTACTATATTAGGGTCCCCTATTCTCGGAAACCCCCATATAGCAGGTACTTGGGGGGTTAGGGTATCAGTGTCCCATAGGATTTGTGTCAGCGCAGGGGCGCGTCTATGGAGTCCGAAGGCCTTGTAAGGGTTAAGGGCTTATAGGGTTTAGGGTTTAGGGTTTTGGGTTTAGGGTTTAGGGCTAGGGTTTAGGGTTTAGGGTTTAGGGTTTAGGGTTTAGGGTTTAGGGCATATATCATCAAGCTGCACAACGATCTGACCATCTGACGTTTATTGAGTTGCGGCTCCGTTTTGGTTGTGCGTGTGTTACATGGGCTAGATGTCCTGGTACTTGGAGTTCCGTCTGACCCGCTGCTAGCACAATGCTGTACGGCGTCGTAGAGTCCCGGGCCTAGCTTTCAGTCTCCAGTATATGTAGATCTTGATGTTTGAAGCTTTTCAACTAGTTAAGGATGGAAAATGTTTAGCAAATCCCGACATGCGCAGCCTACATTTTCAAGCTGGGTTTCAACCCCTGCGCTTACAGAGACGCGTGCAGAAACCCGTGAAGCCTTTTGCGCGGGGGTTGAGGCCCAGCGAAGTAAACTGTCAGCAGCTGTGTACGATTGCACGTGAAAAGGGTTTAGGGTTTAGGGTTTGTCAAATCGTCTGCTTGAACTCCAAGGGGCCACCAGACACTGAAGAACACCAAAGGACGATCATGGAATGTCGTTCAAGTCGTCGACGGGCCTGCATCGATAAACGGGGTCGGCAAGCCCTCGGTATATGTACCATCGTCATGGTTTTTCTTGTGTGTATTTGTGTTGTATGTATGTATGTATGTATGTATGTATGTATGTATGTATGTATGTATGTGTAGCCTGTAAATGTACATGTGGACAAAACAAATGAACAATTAAGTTCATGATTGACGACTACATGAGCTATTTAACTAGTTATATGTATGTACACAAGTATATTCATATATGGCATATCTTCATAAGCTTTTTCATCTGCAACATGTTTTTTTGAAAAGCTGCCCAAGTCATGAAGGCATGAGGGTTTCTGTCTTGCGGAATGCCGAAAGACAGTGCAAGCCCTCAACTCCCGCCCCTTCAACCCAAAGCCTTAAACTTGAAACGCAAGCTCCGAACCCTAAACCTGACCCCCTAAACCCTAAACCCTAAACCCGAAACCCTAAACCCTAAACCCTGAACCCCTCGAAACATCTCGAAACCAAACCTGCCTCGTTCTTCAGACTTCCGCAGGCTGACTATGCACGTGGCCGAACTGGGTTTGCAAAAGCCTAACCACCCACAAAGCACGAGATCTGGGCAGTTGTCCCATCCCCGGCAGGTACGGCTGACACCCCCCCAATGGATCACGGTCAACACGTTCGATATTGTTTCTTCGGGCTGCGGGAGTTGCAAGCGCTTAAGGAGGAGCGAAGACTTGAACAGCATCGTGAAGCCTTGGGTGTTTACATTATTCCCAAATTCGAAGCCCAATAAACTCAGACAACCGCTTAGAGCCTTTTTGGAACCCTTATACGCCCTTCCGACACCCCAGTGATAAAACCTGGATAACCCCAGTGACCCGCCTTTCACCCACTCGCCGGCGCTTTGCGTCTCGGCTCTCCTCTCTCAAAAATCCCGGCTCCCGAACCCTGACGTTTTACCCTTTGGGGCTCAAACTTCAGGGTGTTCTTTTCATGTTGCGTGGTCGGATGGCAGTGAAATTCACAGCTTCATGCCATGACCTTGGGTTCCCAATGCGAAAAGAAACGGTTTAGGGTTTAGGGTTTAGGGTTTAGGGTTACAATGCCTGAAGGAATTCGAACTTAGGACCGGTAAGCTACTCGAGTTTAATGGGCATCAGTTCTAAAGATGCAACCCCCCCAGGTACCTACTATACAGGGGCCTAGGGGCTCTAGTACCCTATATAGTAGGTACCTGGGGGTTAGGGTAAGCTATGCGGCTTCATCTTCATAGGGCGCCTCATCGAGAATCTGATACCTTGTAGGCTGGGCTGCTGCATCCGAATCCACAGAACTGCATGCTTGCAGAATGGCGCAGTGTGCTATGTAAGTCTTATGATGCCCCGAACCACACTCAGAAATACCGACCGTCAGATCAGCCAGGGGCCCAAGCCAGAAGGGTTGACCGCAAGTTTAGGGTTTAGGGTTTAGGGTCCCTAAACCCTAAACCCTAAACCGCCACATGTGGCTTTCAACAAACTTCTCGAGGAAAAAGTTAAGAATTAGACAACCAAGTCTACATGGTTCCGATCTTGTGGGCTGTCTGCTGTTGACCACCACTACGTTAAAAAAAAAAACAGCCATTAAACCCGACAGCTCCCATGTAGGAATTGCCCCATGCTGTGTTGCGGGTGAGATGTGGTTGGGCACGATCCAAGTTGAAGACATCCAGACACTGACGCCCCCAGTTTCCAGGCTTTCTCGCACTGTGTGCTTACGTTGGACATCACACCGGTGGGTACCACAACTCACGAGTTCATCATTATAGGCAAAGGCTGAATTGCCAGGTAGCCTGCAAGTATGCTCATGTTTAACGCCGCAACGTTCCCCTCCCTGCCAGAATGTTGAGTTGAGAGAAGCTGCCTGGTCCAAGAGCGAAACTTGGCCATCGGTGCATACTCATCAACTCATCGAGGACACATGAGGGTGACACGGGACGAGATGATGCAACATGTCAAGTCCCTTTCGCAACGTCGTTACCCTCCCAAACCCCGACGCCTACCCCAAAACGGAAAACCCTGAACCGCTTGCACCCACAAGCTGAAATGCAAACTGGAGCCTAGATGCCTTAGTTGCAGCCCCTTTGAAAAAGGGGATTCTTTGCTGCGACTGCTTAATTAGATAGGTTTAAGGGCCCAGCGTGGGAGGGACTTTGTGTCTTTGCGATTTTGTGTCTTTGCGATGTAGGCTATATATAGGGATGCTCGATCAGAGAGCGCACGCGTTGGTTTGTCATCTGCAGACGCAGCACCTAGTGACCTAGTCCCCAAGGCCTAAACAAAACATGCAGCTTGGCGCCTGGCCGCATCCACCCTAAACCCTAAACCCTAAACGAAAAAGCGCCTCGCCCTAAAAGCCTTGAGTCCTAAGCCGAAAACCCGAAACCATGAACCCGAACCCTAAACCCTAAACCCTAAACCCTAAACCATAAACCCTAAACCCTAAACCCATAAACCCATAAACCCTAAACCGTAGCCTGTCGGTCCTCCTCGTCGTACCCAGCCCTCTTTCCGACACTCTCCGTGTCGATGAAAGGGCTGCGGGCCTCACGAGGGGCTTCCCACGTAGGCAAAGGGTTTCAGGTGTACAGGGTTTAGGGTTGAGGGGTTTAAGGGTTTTTTTAAGTGCAGTGGGACTTTCTCCGCCTGAGTAGTCTCAGCTAGTGCAAGCCGGGTTTCAGGGTTTAGGGTTTAGGGGTTTCAGGGTTTATGGATTCGGGGTTAAATTCTGGAGGGTTCAGGGTTTAGGGTTGAGAGGGGACTGTTGTGGCATGTGAACACAAGCGTGGTTTACGCCGAACACACTGCATCATCACAATCATCACACGTGCAAGGGAACACTGCGGAGACGCACATGCTCATGAGTACCATCTTTTACACAAGTTCTCATAGAGATGCTCTATGCCCCGCTCCTTGAGAAAAGCCTGAAATTTCTGCCGAGCTAGTATGCCACGCAAAACTCGTACACCGCCACCGCCATCAGAACGCGCACCGCTATCGCCATCATACTCATCATGACTGTCGTTATCCTCCTCACCACCGTCATAACTAGCCAGGATCCTCCACATCCTCGGCACTCGTCATAAGGCGTCATAAGAATCGAAGTACCGCAGTCCAGGAACAGGCGTGCCAGGATTCAACAATGCTTGAACAGGCGAGCTAAGCCAGCGAAGGCAAGAGCCCGACATCCTAGCTTTTTGAAAGGGTTCTATAAGAGTTAGCATAAGGGTTCCTGTAAGGGAACACTCAATCCTGAATGCACACACGAAACCCCAGACATGCCATCTCTAATTCAGAGTTCTGAACCAAGACATTGAACCTCACATCCTCCAGTCCTAAACACGACTTGACTTGAACCCTGGACCCTCAATCCTAAACCCCGAACCCTAACCCTACATTCTCCACCCTCCCCATCAGCCCAAAAATCCGAAACTTTAATCTAAATCGTCAAAACCTAAACCCTTAAACCCAGAAGCCCTAAACCCTAAAGCCTCAGACGCAGAACCGGAAGGCGGTACCTGGACCATGTGCCGCAAAGCCCACAGTTTCTTCTTTGCCATAGTGTCGCAAGTGCTCAGCTCCTCTTCACCTTGGGATTAGGGAAAGTTTAGGGTGTAGAGTTTAGGTTTAGAGCTACCAGTGTACAGCTTTGGGTTTAAGGTTTAGGGCGTAGGGGGTTCTGGGGTTTAGTGCTACAGAGCTTTGGGTTTAGGGTTTAGGGTTTTGGTGTAGGGGGTTTGGGGCTTTAGGGCTTGCCTGGGGATTTAGCTGAGCCCGTTTAGGCTTCTTGCGGGCTTTAGGGTTTGAGGGCTTTGGCTTCAGGGTAAATACCTGGCTTATCTGGCTTTACGGGGTTTCGGGCGTAGGGGTTTTGGGTTTAGGGGTTTAGGGTTGAGGGGTTTCGGGTTCAGGGTTCGAGCTAACGCCAGTTGTTTTTTCTGACGGCTTTCTGGCATGTGGTGGGTAGCCTCGAAAGTGGCAACGATGTCTTCTCGATACTACCTTACTAAGTTTATGCCGGCAACTTCGTGATGTGCCTGTGCTGAACTTTGCCCATATACTTCGGTTACTTCGGTTCGATCTAGCTGTCGCTTACATGAAGAGCTGCTAAGCTATTGCAGGCGGGAGCTATGTACCCATGCAAGATAACATGAGGCGTGCAAGCCTGCAAAAACCGACCCAGAAGCAAACCGTTTAGGGTGCGGAGTTTTAGTGTCCATGGCTGAGAGCCATGCGAAGCTGCTTCGCAACTAAAACGCCCTTGGCTCCAAGAAGGGCAAACTTCCACTCAGTTAAGGGCCTGCGCAAGAAACATCTCATCTCGAATGCCTAAAACCCTAAACCTGAAACCTTGAACCCCTAGACCATAAACCTGGAACCCCTAAACCCTAAACCCCTAAACCTTGAACGCCTAAACCCCCGAACCCTAAACTCCTAAACCCCTAAACCCCAAACCTTGAGCCCCAAAGCCCTAAACCCTAATCGCCCTATCTCCTTAACCGGCAAGGCGGCCGAGCTGCTAAAATCCACAAGGTTCAGCGGCAGTGGGTTTGGATCATCAGGCAGGTGCTGAAAAAAGCTGCTCCTGCTAGGAGGGTTTACGCTTTAGGTTTTGGGGTTGTAGAGTTGTGGGTTTTAAGGCTTAGGAATTTAGGGTTTAGGGCTTCCCTGCTGGCGGTGTGGGGCTTCTCGTGCTGTGGTTATTGGGAGTTTGGGCGGTCTGCGTTTCGAAGCTTATAGGGCTGAAGAGTATGGGTTTCCCTAACCCCCCAGGTACCTACTATATAGGGCCCTAGGGGCCCTAGTAACCTGTATAGTAGGTACCTGGGGGGTTAGGGTTTGAGATTACGGTCCGTTTGGGTCGGTTTTACGTTCAGCGTTTACACGTTTGGACCTGTGGGTTTAAGAGTTTACCTCGACCATTACAGTAGTACCTTTTTTGTGGGATTTATTCTTTTTGCCAGGATCCTATAATAACAAGCAGCGAAGGTAGCCAAAAAACGGTGCTACATCAGTGGGTCTAGGCGCAGAGCAGTAGAGGGTTTCCAGCCTGACTCCTGACCGAAACCCGGAACCGACCCCATGAACACCCTGAAACCCTAAACCCCGAGCCCTAAACTCCGAAACCCTAAATCCTAAATCCTACCTGGGTATCCAAAACATTACCGTTTCAAGGGTTAGAACCCTATAACTAAGGGGTCATAACCTACTATTTCGTAGGGTTTGGGGATACAGGTACACTCTACATCCTCACATCCTTTGCACTGCTACCCGAGCAATCGGAAGCGTAAATGCTGTGAATCGCTGCCACATACTCACTCCCCAAACTCAGGGTTTGCGGGTACTTCGTGGTCTCGTTATTTCAAGGAAGCCTAAGTATCCCCCACAGCCCAAAACCCTAAGACTCTAAGAGCAGAGAGCTCGACCAAACGACAAAAACCTCATGTCTAACCCTTGAGATCGCAAATTCGAGTTTCCAATTCCAGCTGTGTAATCTCCCTCTAGACCTCACCGGACTTAACTTAGGTTTCAGGATTGAGGCAGCATCCCGTGTGGGAGGAAGCCGCCAGCCTCGTGCGGTGGTCGCACACTTAGCAGCGCTGATGGCCAGTTTGAAAGTCGTTTAGGGTTTAGGGTTTAGGGTTTAGGGTTTAGGGCCCAGGTACCTACTATATAGGGTACTACAGCCCCTAGGGCCCTATATAATAGGTACCCGGGGGGGTTAGGGAAGGATAACACCTTTTGAATGTTCGGCGTGTTTTTATGATGAATGAAGCGCCCGCTTTACGCCCAAACTGGAGTTCCTAACCTGCATATACCCCAGAACCTGATCAGTCCCCGTCAAGCCCATATAAAGCCCCTTGAACAACCCTAAACCCCAAACCCCTGTACACCTGAGCTCCGCTAAATCCGAAACCCAGAAAAAATCCTAAACCCTAAACCCTAAACCCCAAAAGCTCTAAACCCGAAAAGCCCTAAACCCTAAAACCCCAAAAGCCCTAAAGTCCCTAAAGCTCCCAGACCTCATGGCCACGGCCGGATGCAAGCGCTTCGCCGGATCAAAGCTCAGCAGGGACTCCGGCAGCTCGAGAGCCTGTCGCTCCCGGCTTGCGGGATTTAGGGTTAAGGTAGGGTTTAGGGTTTAGGGCTTAGGATTTTAGGGTTTCAGGTCAGGGCTTGTGGGTTGAGGGTTTAAGGTGTGCCAAGCCTGACCACGGCTGCTTGCTGCCCACCCGACCCTTTATTTAGGATAATTAGCAGCCACTCCGTGTGTTTCAAGCCCTGAATTCCGCGGCCTGACGCTCCTCTGCGAAGGCAGGCAGCAACTCCTGAGATGACGCTCTGTGTACGGTTTGGGGTTTCGGGTCTAGCGCTTCCGACCTTAACGCGCGGGGCTCAAGGTTTTACGTTTTTAGGAGCAGGCCTGTGCATCCAAAAAATAATTACCTTAACCTACCAAAACCTAGTTTTTTGTAGGTCCTTGTTATAAACCCTAATACGGAATTTATAGGGACCCTGTCAAAAGTAGACTTACGGTTGAGGGTGGCGACCAGAGCCAGCCACCAAAAAACCTCACGCATCGAATTGCGGCCGAGGGCGCGTAGATCGGCAGATGGTCCGTTGCCACCTTCCGGACTCTACTCCCCGAGGGCCGGTTCTGTCAAGGCACTACCCATAGGCCCCATAGTAGTTCTTTTTTGTGGCTTATATTTAGGATCCTATTAGGTACCCAGACCCCCGGAAAGATCTAGAAAGTAGAACCCCCCCCCCAGTCTGGGACCCTATACTACTAAGGGCTCTTTATAGGAACCCCCATTTTCGGGATCTACTTTTGGGATCCTCCCCCGGGTGTCTGGGCTGACACCTCTTAAAGGTTTATTGCTGCAGCTCGGCTGAGGGATTGGCTAAGTTTGGGGATCTTGTGTGGGGATGTTCATGGCGGTTATTGAACGACAGCATTGCATTGAAAGTATACAGGCGCAACCAGCCTCAATTTAGTTTCAGAATAGTATCGGGGTGTAGGGTAAATTGTAGCATACTTTCAGGGTCTATGGTTTAGTGTTTAGGACCTCCATTATTGCTATCGCCGAACCCACTATCACCCCTAAAACCTGAGCCCCACGAACATAAAACAGCAACAACAAGACCTCCAAGCACGGAGAGTCCGAACACCCGAAAGAAGCCCGGACAGTGCCAGGTACAGAGTTGAAGCTACAAGGAAATCAGAGAAACGTGTTCAGGGATTGAACTTAGCTACAATGATTGGGATCTATGGTAAACATCATGGGTCCCTTATGATGATGATGGCAACCTAATTAAAAGTCCTCCCCCAAACCCTGACGCCTAAACATCCCTAAACCCCAAACCCCAAAACCCCCTAAACCCTAAACCCAAACCCCCCTAAACCCTAAACCCCAAAACCCCCTAAACCCTAAACCCTCTCTTTTAACACCCCAGGACAAAAGCTAAGGGCCCAGCAAGAAGCGCATCCCCACAGACGGGCTCCTGAGATCTTCCGCGCGTCAGCGATCTACAGGGCTCCAGTGAAAGTCTCATGATGCTTTAGGGGTTGGGGTTTAGGAGTTAAATGGTTAAGGGTTCAGGGTTTAGGCTTGTTGGGATTTAGGGCTTAAGGGTAAGGGGTCTAGGGTTTGAGTGTTTGGAGGTTTAGGGCTTAGGGTTTCTGGGAAGAGCAAGAACAACTACCATGTACACACGATCCTGTGCTTCCTCCACACATGAGGCCGCCGCAGGAAGGGTTCGGATGCTTGTGTGTCAGGTGCAGGAGTCCGGTGAGACACCCCATCTCAACACGTCGGAGGGCTTGTTTACAACCTTATAGCGGTTAAAGTAAAGGCTATACAGAGTTTTGTAGTATTTAGAACTCAAGGAAAAAGAGTTTATATAACTTCTACACGCAACAGAAGAACTAAGGACCCCTTTGTACACTCACCACAACCTTAGACCCCTGCTATATTGTAGGCGACTTACACTCATAACGGACTCAAGCCTTCAGCTAAACTCAAACCTCTGGGACGTGGGTGGTTCTCCAAACAAAGGTCTCCTCTCTGGGATCCCAAAAACCGAATATGTCGCTCCAGCCGAAAGGACTCTTGAAAACTGTCCCTAAACTCTACCTGGACCCTAAAGAACCTACCTTTTTAGGGTTCCTTAATATGATTTCCTTATACAAGTCCTTAAAGACGTAAGTTATTTGGGGTTAAGGTAAACCCTAAACCCTAAACCCTAAACCCCAAAACCTAAACCCTACACCCTAAACCCTAAACCCTAAATCCTAAAAACGGTCAGCAGGATTTGAAGGCCCACGCGAGAAACCCATCCGCTGCGAGCAGGGCACGCAAGCCACTCCAGTGAGGTTCACGAAGTTGCCTCCAGCATTTAGGTTTTAGGGTTTGAGGTTTTAGTGTTTTAGGGTTTAGGGTTCAGGGTTTTTTGTTGAGGGCCTTGGGTTTAGGTTTTAGGGTTTTAGGGTTTTAGGGTTTACGGTTTAGGGGTTTAGGGTTTTTTTTTCGGTTTCGAGCTTTGGCTTCAGGTGGACTCGATTCAATCACGTTAACTAGTCCTTCCACGTGAAAGCAAAGCTGAGCATCATCTGGTCTCTTTTTAGGTCATCCTCCGCGCAATTTTCCTTTCACTCCAACCGAGCCATAGTAGGACTGTGCTTTTGCAGAAAGGTTGAACAGTATGAACTCGCCGCTTCTCGGATGCCGCCGGGGCAGTTTGCAGAGGTCTGACCTTAAGGACATCTTGGCTACGCAGCATAGGACATTGGGTGCCAGAAGAGGTCCCGTTTCTCGAGCGGAAACGAGGTGGAAGGTGTGGAAGTCATCGCGTGCCTTTCTTGGTTTGCTTTCCTTATCGTACCTTGGGCGCTAGATCCTCCAATCTCATAACGATGATTGCCCAAACCCCTAAACCCTAAACCCTTCTAAACCCTGAGCCCTAAACCCTAAACCCTTAAACCCTAAACCCTAAAGCCTAAAGCCTAAACCCTCAAACCCCTAAACCCTAAACCCTAAATCCAAACCCCTAAACCCCTAACCCTAAACCCTAAACCCCTAAACCCTCTGATTCTAACAACGCCGCAAGGCCTCTGCAGGAGACCCAGGCCTCTGTCCCGGTGCAAATACTGAACTTAGACCCCTAGCAACAATTATGATCTTAGCTGCTTCTTAGGGTTTATAGTAGCCAAAGATTAAACATTAATTGTGATTTTAGCTGCTTCTTAGGGTTTATAGTAACCAAAGATTAACAAAATATTTCTAAGTACCCCTAAGGGCTTCAGAACAGGTCCCACCCACTTCGTTCCACGTTTAGGGGTTTAGAAGTTTAGGGTTTCCCCCAAATCGCATGTAACACCAAATTCCAAACCTCGAGGGTGAACCGACAAGCAGAATGCGAGACGGGGGACATGCTCAAACCACCTCTCAAATTCCCTCAATCAAGGCAATTGAAACAACTTTGGGCACAGCAACCAGAGCGAAAGCGAGCAAGACAGCTATAGCGAAACACTAATTGGCAAGCACTCTCTATCCTGTGCGTACTGCGACTTCAAGAAAACTCGACACAGTGAAGGCAGCAGCAGCAGCAGCAGCGGCAGCGGTGGCGGAAAACCTGCAAGAGGACGGAGGCAACACTTCACTGCAAGTTTTCAAACTTCAACCAGGGTGCGATTGTAAACTCGGAACCCCAGACGACGACCTAAATCCCTCTCCCCCGGCACCTCGAGCACCACAGCGCTTTTGCAAAAGGCGAGAGGACGGAAGTGCTGAACCTTGACCCATGCGGGATGCTACGCTTTAACTAGAGGGTATTTGTATGTTTATATATATATATATAAATAAATAGAATAGGGTTTCGGGGGTTCCTTTAAATGGTTCCTTAAAGGGCTAGTATAAGGGTTTAGGGTTTAGGGGCCTCGATAATAAGAATAGGGGTTGTGGGGGTTCCGTATTATAGTTATAGGATAATATACCCCAAACTCTATTCTCCCCTACATTAATCGTGTGTGCGGTTGTGGAGTTGGTGGCTGTGGCTTTGGATGCAGTTTGTACTACTACTGCTGCTGTGACTGTTGCGATTGCTATTGTTCATATTTGTTGTAGGGGCCTTAATAATTGTAATAGGGTTTTAGGGTCTATCATATTATACGTTTAATAAGAAACCACCAAAATAGTATAGGTACGTATTAAGGCCATTACATTACGGTGCTTGGCAAAAAGTGATTGCTTGATCTGAGCATCCTGCTGGAAGCAGTCGTGGATGCATTGCCGCCAGTGTCGAGGGCTTCGCCTTCACAAAGGAAGCCATTGAGCAGCTGATAGAGATGTACCCCGGGGAGCTCTGCCTGGAGCACCTATGACTCCTATGACCTATGATCTACCTCCCTCCCACGAACCTGGTGCAAAATCCCGGGTCCAAATTCAACATACTGCAAGAAACACAGACCAGAGCAACACAATTAAAATAGGGGCCTTAATAATTACAAGCGCCGGGTGTATCTCACATCAGTCGGCGAGAATACACATCACCCCGTTGTGGACGCTGTTGCAGCGGCGAGAATACACATCAGCAGATGCAAATCCCAATGTAGACGCTGTCTTTTAGCCTCCAAAGTCGCCCAAGCTCAAAACCCTAACCTAAACCCTAAACCCTATTTGGAGGATCATGGGACTTAGTAAGTAAGGTTATAACTACCTTAATTGGGGATATAACTACTTATAAGTATAGTTACCTTATTTATAACCCCAGTTACTAAGTCCCATGACCCTCCAAGTAAACAGGATATGCCGCGCGGACGCTGGGTTTCACATGCTTTTCATTGCATTCTAGAGCACATCTTGGAGCCGAATCCCCAAGTAGACGCTGCGATTTCCCGTCGAGGGTTCGGGGGTATATTATGCCCTAATCAGAATAAGGAACCCAAGGAATAGTACTGGTAATTATCTACTTGGAGGATCATGGGACTTAGTAACTAGGGTTATAAATAAGGTAGCTATACCTATGAGTAGTTATAACCCTAATTAAATAGTTATAACCTTACTTACTAAGTCCCATGATCATCCAAGTAGGCCCCTATACTGCACGCCCTAAACCCTAAACCCAAACCCCTAAACCCACATTTTAGAGGCTCAGGTAGGCCCCTATATGATACGGTGAATGGCAAGGCCAGACCTTCCAGGTGTCAATTCCTGAGACGGGCATCTGCTTGCAGCATCGTCAAAACCCGGTCACCGGAACGAACCTAAAGTGGCGCCCCGTTGGGGCTGTAGCCTTAAGCCCTAAATCCTAAACCTGAATGCCTAAG